TTCCCCCGGGGGGGGGGGGGGGGGCCTTAAGGGTATGCTTTTTACCGATAGATACTGCATAGCTTATTTTCGCCGCTTAAATCTTTAAAGTCCCAGTCTCCGGAAATTTGTTGATATGTTCAAAATGTAAGAATGCATTTTAACACACACTTTTAGTTTTGCATCATTCCACACTGAATTGAAGAGCAACAGGAGAGCTGCTGGTTACGATTTTAGGTGTCACTTGACCTCACAGCGATAGTGTAGCCCCTGCAACCACAACAACTGCAGGGCGCCTCCGACATTTTAGGGGCTCAAAATTGTGCTGTAAACACTTTTATTGATCAACTTTGAGTGATAGGTGGGGGTAATTACAAAACCGAAAAGTGGCAAAGGGACATAACAAGTCTAGCCACGTCTATGCAGGATCCAGGGGTATGTTTAAATAAAAAAAGCATTACTATGATAATTTCACATGGTGAACGAAAAAAACCCCACCAATACAACATATGAATATTTCTAAACATTTCTAAGTTGTACCAAAAAAAAACCCACTCCCACCTGTTATGTATTAAGGTCTAATATGTTTTTATGATGTTTTAAAACTGGTCATTTTTATCAACCGTATGTGAACGGCCATACTTATGTTCAAAAGACAAAATGAAATATAACTATTCTTGTATTTCGTTAGTAGGGCATTTATCATTCTTGTGCATTACTCACACTTGTGCATTACTAAGTGTTGTACATTACGCACACTTGTACATTACGCACACTTGTGCATTACTAAGTGTTGTACATTACGCACACTTGTACATTACGCACACTTGTGCATTACTAAGTGTTGTACATTACGCACACTTGTGCTTTAGGCGCTTGTGTGCTTTAGGCGCTTGTGTGCTTTAGGCGCTTGTGTGCTTTAGGCGCTTGTGTGCTTTTGGCCGTCTTGTTCTTCAGGAATATCACCGAGAGGACGGCGGTCATGATCATGATATAAAAAAACCTGATCATCAGCTTACGGTAAAGGAGAACATGAAAAAGCAAACAAATTTAAAGACAACATTGCCAGCTGTCTAGCCCCCAGGGATTTTATCTCTGTTTGATAACGAGGCTTCCCAAAAGTCTCTAGGTACCGACTTTCTCTGAGTTCTTATCTGCCAAGCTATCAGCAGGTAAGGTTGAGCTACGAGACGTCATCATTTTCTCTCAGATTGAAAACAAAGCTATAGTTTGAAGTAGATTACTCAATAGATTATTACTTAATATACAATTATTGAGCTTAAAGGTAATTACATAAATACCCGTCCAATCAAAGTACAGTTATATAAATGTATGTAAAACTAAATACAGCTATGTAGATGTCTTGTCCCATCAAAGTACAGTTATATAAATGTATGTAACACTAAATACAGCTATGTAGATGTCTTGTCCCATCAAAGTACAGTTATATAAATGTATGTAAAACTAAATACAGTTATGTAGATGTCTTGTCCCATCAAAGTACAGTTATATAAATGTATGTAAAACTAAATACTGCTATGTAGATGTCTTGTCCCATCAAAGTACAGTTATATAAATGTATGTAACACTAAATACAGCTATGTAGATGTCTTGTCCCATCAAAGTACAGTTATATAAATGTATGTAAAACTAAATACAGCTATGTAGATGTCTTGTCCCATCAAAGTACAGTTATAAATGTATGTAACACTAAATACAGCTATGTAGATGTCTTGTCCCATCAAAGTACAGTTATATAAATGTATGTAACACTAAATACAGCTATGTAGATGTCTTGTCCCATCAAAGTACAGTTATATAAATGTATGTAACACTAAATACAGCTATGTAGATGTCTTGTCCCATCAAAGTACAGTTATATAAATGTATGTAAAACTAAATACTGCTATGTAGATGTCTTGTCCCATCAAAGTACAGTTATATAAATGTATGTAAAACTAAATACAGCTATGTAGATGTCTTGTCCCATCAAAGTACAGTTATATAAATGTATGTAACACTAAATACAGCTATGTAGATGTCTTGTCCCATCAAATTACAGTTATATAAATGTATGTAACACTAAATAAATCTATGTAGATGTCTTTTTTCCACCAAAGTACAGGGATTATAAAGAGCATTAATAAAAATGTCTGCCACATTAAAGAGTGGAACCGTAATATAAATGTTTGTCCCATAGAATAACATCAAGTATAGTCATGTAAGTGCCATTACTAATTAAGTACAGTTATGTAAGTGATTACTAATGAAGTGCAGTTATGTAAGGGCCACTACTAATGAAGTACATTTATGTAAGTGCCACTTCTAATGAAGTACAGTTATGTAAGTGCCACTACTAATGAAGTACATTTATGTAAGGGCCACTACTAATGAAGTACAGTTATGTAAGTGCCACTACTAATGAAGTACATTTATGTAAGGGCCACTACTAATGAAGTACAGTTATGTAAGTGTCACTACTAATGAAGTACATTTATGTAAGTGCCACTACTAATGAAATACATTTATGTAAGTGCCACTTCTAATGAAGTACAGTTATGTAAGTGCCACTACTAATGAAGTACGTTTATGAAAGTGCCACTACTAATGAATTACAGTTATGTAAGTGCCACCACTAATGAAGTACAGTTATGTAAGTGCCAATACTAATGAAGTACATTTATGTAAGTGCCACTACTAAAGTACAGTTATGTAAGTGCCACTACTAAAGTACAGTTAATATTAACGCTAGACTCCTCACCCATCTTGACACATTTCATTTGTTTAACAGGACAGTGGACATGCTTTACCTTCCTCTACTTTGTCTGGCGGTGGTCAGTCAACTGGTCAGTGGTGACCAACAACAACAGCTGGCCCTGTCATCAGCTGCTTCAGCATTCTCCCAACAGCTCTACCAGAAAGTTGCTTTGGACAAACCCAATGTCATCTACTCTCCTTACAGGTTTTCAATGGTTACATAGCATGAAATGTGTTAAATAATTGCATAACATGACATGTGTTCAATGGTTACATGACATTACAGGTGTTCAATGGTTACAACATTACAGGTGTTCAATGGTTACTTAACATTACAGGTGTTCAATGGTTACATAACATGAAATCTGTTCAATGGTTACAAAAATTACAGGTGTTCAATGGTTACATAACATGACATGTGTTCAATGGTTACATAACATTACAGGTGTTCGATGGTTACAAAACATTACAGGTGTTCAATGGTTACATAACATGATATGTGTTTAATGGTTGCATAACATTACACGTGTTCAATCGTTTCATAAGATGACATGTGTTTAATCGTTACATAAGATGACATTTGTTCAATGGTTACATAACATGACATGTGTTTAATGGCTACATAACATGACATGTGTTCAATCGTTACATAACATGATATGTGTTCAATCGTTACATAACATGACATGTGTTCAATGGCTACATTAAATTACAGGTGTTAAAAATTGTATTTAAAAACATCTTAAAATTTGGGCTACCTTTGACTAGGCAAATTTATGACATAAGACACAAAATCCAGAACTAACATATCTATGCCACCTGACATAAGCCAGTAGGGACTTGCAAATGACATTTGACATAAGCTAGAAGGGACTTGCACATGACATCTGGCATAAAACAGAAGGGACTTGCACCTGACACCTGACTAAAACAGAAGGGACTTGTACCTGACATCTGGCATGAGCCAGAAGGGACTTGCCCATGACATCTGACTATAAGCCAAAAGGTACATTCCCATGACATCTGACATAAGCCAGGAGAACATTCACATGACATCTGACACTAGCCAGAAGGAATTTCCTGACATGAGCCAGAGTTGACATTTCGTGCACAACAATTTTTCCCCAGCATCCACTCTGCTTTGTCCATGACGTCACTCGGTGCACGAGGCGACACGGCCACTGAATTGGCGCAGACCTTAGGTGTGACGTCACTGGGAGCATCAACACATGCTGCTTACAAGGAACTCATCCAACAGGTCAATAGACATCGATGACTTCCTTTGAATAAAGCTGTCTTTGATTATGTGCACTCTCTTAGATATACATTTATATATTTAATATATTATTGTACCACAGAGCGAAAGATCCATGTTCAGTTATTATTCTTATGATTGAGTTAACTCGTTAGACCTGATTATGACTGAGTTCACTGGTGAAGCCTGTCTATGATTGAGTTAACTAGTTAGACCTGTCTATGATTGATTTCACTGGTGAGGCCTGTCTATGATTGAGTTCACTGGTTAGGCACCGTTAGGCCTGTCTATGACTGAGTTCACTAGATAGACGTGTCTATGATTGAGTTCACTAGTTAGACCTGTATATGATTGAGTTCACTGGTGAGCACTGTCTATGATTGAGTTCACTAGTTAGGCCTGCCTATTATTGAGTTCACTAGTTAGACCTGTCTATGATTGAATTCACTAGTTAAACCTGTCTATGACTGAGTTCACTAGTTAGACTTGTCTATGATTGAGTTCACTACTTAGACCTGTCTATGATTGAGTTCACTATTTAGACCTGTCTATGATTGAGTTCACTAGTTAGGTCTGCCTATTATTGAGTTCACTCGTTAGACCTGTCTATGATTGAGTTCACTAGTTAGACCTGTCCATGACTGAGTTCACTAGTTAGACTTGTCTATGATTGAGTTCACTGGTGAGGCCTGTTAATTTTAAGCTAATTTTCTGACGACTCTATTGACCATTGACATGTCAATCATACAGTTAAACGCTGTCAAAGATGTTGCCCTGAACACAGGAAATGCCATTTTCGTCAACTGGAATTACAACCTGGTGCAACAGTTCGTCGAGGATGTTACCAACGACTATTTTGCCAAGTCCTCAAACATTGACCTTTCTGCACCGGGTGGACCCGAGAAGCCCATCAATGACTACATCGCTGCAAAGACAGAAAACATGATACAGAATGTCTTACCTAGAGGTACAATAGATTGGTTGATACAGGTGAAATAGATAGTTGATACCGGTGAAATAATTTGATACAGGTGAAATAGATAGTTGATACAGGTAACATTGATTCGGTAACAATAAAACCAGCTTTTAAAATAGATGTCACAGAAGAAAAAAAAAATTGATCAAATTCAATATGTTTGGATGTTTGTATTAAAAGTCAATGTGTTTGGATATTTGAGATAAAAGTCAATGTGTTTGGATATTTGAGCTAAAAGTCAATGTGTTTGGATATTTGAGATAAAAGTCAATGTGTTTGGATATTTGAGCTAAAAGTCAATGTGTTTGGATATTTGAGCTAAAAGTCAATGTGTTTGGATATTTGAGATAAAAGTCAATGTGTTTGGATATTTGAGATAAAAGTCAATGTGTTTGGATATTTGAGCTAAAAGTCAATGTGTTTGGATATTTGAGATAAAAGTCAATGTGTTTGGATATTTGAGCTAAAAGTCAATGTGTTTGGATATTTGAGATAAAAGTCAATGTGTTTGGATATTTGAGATAAAAGTCAATGTGTTTGGATATTTGAGATAAAAGTCAATGTGTTTGGATATTTGAGATAAAAGTCGATGAGTTTAGATCTTGAGCTAAAAGTCAATGTACTTGGATGTTTGCACTAACAGTCAATGTATTTGGATGTTTGAACAATCAGTCAATGTTCTTATACAGGAAGCATCGACGCCAGCACTGTCATGGTTCTAGTGAATACAATTTTCTTCAATGGAACCTGGGACCATCAGTTCTCTAAATACAAGACTGTCAGTCAGGACTTCCATAAAGTAGGAGGAGCTATTGGAAAAGTAAGTTTGCCTACAATGTAATACTAGAAGGTAGCAGCGGCGTAGCGAGACATCGTGCAGCCAGGGGCGGACTTTCAATTTACAGGACCCCACCGCTCCCACACACAAAAAAAAAAAAAAAAAAAAAAAAAAAAAAATCATAAAGTAAAAAGAGCTAATAGAAAAGAAAGATTGCCTACAATGTAATACTAGAAGGTAGCAGCGGCGTAGCGAGACATCGTGCAGCCAGGGGCGGACTTTCAATTTACAGGACCCCACCCCTCCCACACACAAAAAAAAAAAAAAAAAAAAAAAAAACAAGAAAAAAACAAGAAAAAAACAAAACACAACCCCACCACAGTTAAGATATAGTGCATCTTAGCAAAGCTGGAAATAATGAACCTTGAAATAGCGCTGTCGCTGTCATCTGCACTTAATCGCCCCGAAAAGGAAACGGAAAAAAAGTGGGGGTGGGGTGGGGGAGGAAATCTAGGGCTTCGAAGGCCCCCAAGCTAAAGTGGGGGCAGGGTAGGAGCTCATTGAGATTCATTTTTACGCATACCTGACTTTAGAACTACACTCATCTACACAGAGAAATTATTTTTAAAAATTTGTCATTGTTACTAAATAATACTTTTGTTTAAAATATTTATTTAAACCATACTAAAACTATTAACCTAATTAATTTGTTTAAATATTGGTCACGTTATGGGAGGTGTTTATGTTGGTCTTTAAGTGGGAGGAGCTTTGGTCGAGTTATGGGAGGGGGTTTATGTTGGTCTACAAGTGGGAGGAGCTTTGGTCAAGTTAAAGGAGGGTTTATGTTGGTCTATAAGTGGGAGGAGCTTTGTTCAAGTTATGGGAGGGATTTATGTTGGTCTATAAGTGGGAGGAGCTTTGGTCAAGTTATGGGAGGGTTTATGTTGGTCTATAAGTGGGAGGAGCTTTGGTCAAGTTATGGGAGGGGTTATGTTGGTCTGTAAGTGGGAGAAGTTTTGGTCAAGTCATGGGAGGGCTTATGTCGGTCTATAAGTGGGAGGAGTTTTGTTTAGGCTTTGGGAGGGGCTTACGTTAGTTTAAAAGGAAGGAACTTGGAACTTTTATGTTGTGCTAGTTAATTGTAAAATGTCAATATTATAAAACATTCTTGGTGTCTATGAATAAAGGTGGACATGATGCACGATGAAAGAACCCTTAAGATAAAGAGAGACAACTCAAATGGCGTTGACGTGGCTGAGCTCCCCTTCAAAGGCGGCAGATTCAGTCTGTACATCGCTTTGCCCCAGAAAGTAGATGGCGTCTCAGATTTAGGTGAGGAAGTCAAAGTTCAAAAGTCATGCTACAGTTGTGATACTTAATGGTACAGTTATGTTAAAGTGGTCATGGTTCACTTATGTTTCGTGATGGGACAGATGTCACGGTACATTGTTTTTAGATTGTTGATGAAGCAGCCACGTTAGATTGTCACGGTACAATACTGTTAATTGTTGATGTAGCAGTTATGTTTTGAATTGTCACGGTACAGCAATGTTAGAATTTTGATGGAACAATCAATTAGGCAAATATTTCGCTACATCAGTTTTAATTGTATTTTCAGAAAAGCTCCTGGCCACTCCGGGCAAGGTGGATGACCTCTTCACTGGCCTGAGTCCAGTCAGACTAAACCTGGCCCTCCCCAAGTTTAAGATTGAGACAACTCTGACCTTGAACTCTGCCCTCCGGGATTTGGGTATAGTGAAGGCTTTCAGCCCAATGGCAGCCGATTTTACAGGCATAACCCAATCAGGTAAAAGAGACAAGTTGACCGGCATAATCCAGTGGTCGGCAAATCGCGGCTCGCGAACCGCATGAGCTCTGTAACGACCTTAGTGCGTCTCGGCCACAAATCGGCTTTGACTCTGAAAAACATGGCTCTTGACAAGAAATTTTGCTCCAAAATGTAAAAAAAAAATCCTCCTGATGTTCTTTTTTGGCTCTTTTGACTAATGTGTTTTCCGACCACTGGCTGACTAATGTGTTTGCCGACCACTGGCTGACTAATGTGTTTGCCGACCCCTGGCTGACTAATGTGTTTGCCGACCACTGGCTGACTAATGTGTTTTCCGACCACTGGCTGACTAATGTGTTTGCCGACCACTGGCTGACTAATGTGTTTGCCGACCACTGGCTGACTAATGTGTTTGCCGACCACTGGCCGACTAATGTGTTTGCCGACCACTGGCCGACTAATGTGTTTGCCGACCACTGGCCGACTAATGTGTTTGCCGACCATTGGCCTTGTCCAAATAGTGAACGTCAATAATTTATTTGTACGAGCACGTTCTAGACCATCACCAATAAATGTCCAATATGTGTACTTGTACAGCCCAGGTGTACATCAGTCAAGTGCTTCACAAGGCCATGATTGAAGTCCAAGAGACCGGTACAGTGGCAGCAGCTGCTACAGTCATTAGCATGGTTGCACTGTCGGTCCAACTTCCTCCAAATCAATACTTCGTTGCTGACCACCCGTTTGTGTACTTCCTTCGGGACAACCAAACTGGCCAGATTCTCTTCCAAGGAAAATTCTCTGGTTAGACTTGCCCAAACTACAGTGGCATTTTATGCATTAAACAAAACTTGAAAACTTTTCATTGTCGTTTTTTGGGTGTTTAGTTTAAAAATATGTTCAACTTTCATTTGATATACTACAATAAATGTGATTGGGTAAATGAAGACTACAATGAATCTGATTGGGTAAATGAAGACTACAATGAATGGGATTGGGTAAATGAAGACTAGAATGAATGTGATTGGGTAAATGAGGACTACAATGAATGTGATTGGGTAAATGAGGACTACAATGAATGTGATTGGGTAAATGAGGACTACAATGAATGGCATTGGGTTAATGAAGACTAAAATGAATGTGATTGGGTAAATGAAGAGTACAATGAATGTGATTGGTTAAATGAAGACTACAATGAATCTGATTGGGTAAATGAAGACTAAAAATGAATCTGATTGGGTAAATTAAGACTAAAATGAATGTGATAGGGTAAATGAAGACTGCAATGAATGTGATTGGGTAAATGAAGACTACAATGAATCTGATTGGGTAAATGAAGACTACAATGAATGTGATTGGTTAAATGAAGACTACAATGAATGAAATTGGGTTAATGAAGACTAAAATGAATGTGGTTGGGTAAATGAAGACTACAATGAATGGGATTGGGTAAATGAAGACTACAATTAATGTGATTGGTTAAATGAAGACTACAATGAATGTGATTGGTTAAATGAAGACTACAATGAATGTGATTGGTTAAATTAAGACTACAATGAATGTGATTGGTTAAATGAAGACTAAAATGAATGTGATTGGGTAAATGAATATTACAATGAATGTGAACCAAATCTTAAATATTGATCAGCTGTACTAGCTACAGCAGCCATGATTTATTGCAGTAACTACATGAGATATACTACATGAGATATTCTAAATCAGATATACTACAGCAGATATACTGGGATAACTTTTAAAATTTATCTTAAAACTGAACTGAGTCTTTTTATGTCATCAGATGAACCACATTCCTGAAAAATAGAATTGCTATAAAGTTACCCCCCTTGGTTCAATAACAAGAATAAAGATATCAAATAATGTAACTCCATTCATATGTATAAACTTTATTTGATTGCATTTATACTAACATGTATTTAGTTTTTTATAACTCCAGTGAAGGAATAAGATAAGATAAGATTCTTATATTGATCCAAATAAATGTAAATGTTTTTTTAAATTTCATTGTACATAATCATTTTTAGCACATAACATATTTAAAGCAAGACATTCTTTTAAAATGATAACAATTTAAACACAAGACAATTAAAGTATTTCTCTAGCGTAAAAATCAGCTGTCATATACCGTAAAACTTAACTGCCATAGAGACAATAATGACTTAATTAGTGATCTTATAGATTTTGCAACTGCTGGGGAGAGAACGCTGGTAAATTCTGACAAACAAATGAATTTTTATATCTTTCTGTCTTAATTTGAAGGAAAAGAATTAGCCCAGATCGAACTGATCTCAGTTATAAGTATAATACAACTGAGTAATTAAGTGATACACTTATGGCATTGTCATACTGTAAGATTGGAAGCATTATTATTCTATTGTAGCAATGGATGCCTACACATATAAATAAGTTTGGCTCATTTTAAATTCACCTTTTAAAAAAATCAGATGCATTCTTGAATCAAGGCAATACATGTCTCAGGGCTATTAACAAATCCCAAAATTAAAAATGAAATCAGATTGGTTGATAGTAGATGGCGACATTTTTAAAATACAAACTTCGTTGGCTTACACAACAATAAAAAATTAAAAGAACAAATCTGATTGGGTAAACACAATGCTACATTTAAAACAAGATTTTGACCAAAAGTAGCTCAATAGAGTAAATCATTGCAACCAATAAAATTTGAGAAAATCTTCTAAAAATATATATTATATTCAAAACATTATCTTTAATTTGATTAGAAATGTATGTTATTAATTTAAAATTAATGGATTCAATTAAAAAACACATTATTTATTTTACTTTTGGATGCTATATTGTCAGGAAATATGACAGTCATTTTTGACTAAACACATAGTTACAAAACCCATTCTACTGACAGTAGATGGAAGAGTTGATCATGTTGGACATGTAACTTTTAACATGTCAAATAAAAAAACCTAATTTTAGGTTTGTAACATAAATATTTTACAACTACTTTATGATGACAGTTTTGTGCATGCTGCAAGACACACTGGTGACATCTACCACACTGGTGACATCTAACATACAAGTGACATCTACCACACTGGTGACATCTACCACACTGGGTGACATCTACCACACTGGTGACATCTACCACACTGGTGACATCTACCACACTGGTGACATCTATCACACTGGTGACATCTACCACACTGGTGACATCTAACATACAAGTGACATCTACCACACTGGTGACATCTACCACACTGGTGACATCTATCACATTGGTGACATCTACCACACTGGTGACATCTACCACACTGGTGACATCTACCACACTGGTGACATCTACCACACTGGTGACATCTATCACACTGGTGACATCTACAATACAGATGACACCTAACACACATGTGACATCTACCACACAGGTGACATCTAGCAATAACAAACTTCCAAAGTTGACATAAACAAGGGGTGAATATGTAAATATAAATACAGTTGGACCTTCACCTTGGTGACTGTGTCACAGACCTTCACCTTGGTGACTGTGTCACAGACCTTCACCTTGGTGACTGTGTCACAAACCTTCAACTGTGTCACAGACCTTCACCTTGGTGACTGTGTCACAGACCTTCACCTTGGTGACTGTGTCACAAACCTTCAACTGTGTCACAGACCTTCACCTTGGTGACTGTGTCACAGAAGCTTGTAATAATTTTAAGAAATGAACACTCCAGCCTATTTCAAGATACTTTAGTAATGTGATACTAAGGGAATTTTAGAGATGCAGTTCTAAATGTAAAATATACAAAGGCAAACATGCACATAAAAATAAGTATGGAAGTAAAGCAGATTTGGAATGTCTGCATCATTCAGATTATGTAATCTATTATCAATGATATCTATTGCATATTTATACAGTCATAAATATTTCATATTTATAAGTCTTTTATAAACTTTGTGCTGTTAACTGAAAGCGTATTTGTAACCAGATATAACTAGATATTTTATGATTTGGTTTGATCTAGTTTTTGAGCATCTTCTTATGACAATATTTTTAGTTTAAGTAGATTTCTCATTTCACAGAGAGCATTATTCAACCTTTGCTCGATCAGTCCAAGCCTTTCACAACTCATTCTAACCTAACTGTGGTTTAACTATATACACAAACTATTTTAACAATATAAATTTGTAGTCACATCTGTACACATTTCTACCATGAAAGTTATATACAAATACATTTGAACTATTCCACCATAAAATTCTGAGCTCATTGTTCATCTTAAAAACAATTGTTTACAAAATTCATTTCAAAATATAAATAGAAAATGATGAAATAAAATCTAAGTGATCATAGCTATATGTGTACATTATCTTTCTAGTTTATTTTGATACACATCCTAGAGTCATGTTTCTGTTTAAATGTGTGCATGCTGCTAGTGAATTTGTACAGCTCAAAGGACAGGCAAAGATATAATGCACGCAGGTAACACTATCATTCACATACAACTGTGTACACCATATAGAACTAAGTAGAAAGTACATACAAACACACATGCATAGATATATTATATATATATGTAAAAGTACGTGGAGATTTTAACTCAATTTTAACCCCCGGTGAGACAATTCAGTTGAAACATAAATTATACATGCTCAGTTATGGGCCCTTTTTAGTTGAATGCTGAAGATCCTCCCGACACCCAAAACCTTCATAGCATCTCAGCCACACAGACCCAACACATGTCAATGTTTGGTGTTAAAAGGATGTGATGTCAATGTTTGGTGATTACAGGAAAATGATGTCAATGTTTGGCGATTACAGGAAAATAATGTCAACATTTGGCGATTACAGGAAAATTAAAATAATGTCAACATTTGACGATTACAGGAAAATTATGAAAATGTTTGGCAATAACAGGAAAATGATGTCAATGTTTGGCGATTCAAGGAGAATTATGTCAATGTTTGTTGATTACAGGAAAATAATGTCACATTTAGCACAGAGCGGAAATATGATAAAAAAACTATCATAACATTATCCCCTCTTGTTAGTTGAAATAGTCAACAGCTATTGTCACGATATAAAAATTTTAAAAGGTGAATTTAGGCAACAAATTCCAGTTTAAAAGTAATGCAAAGGTCAAGTGGCGGATAGATTTGTGGATCATTTTGGACCAATCAGACTAATATCACAGCATCTTGTTGAATGATTTCAACTTTGAAAGAACTTGGTACAGACAAACTTATGCAAAGTCTGGCTGAGCTAGGACATTGTGAAAGAACTTGGTAGGATGGTCGTTATTGCAATTGGTGGCTGAGCTAGGACATTGTCAGTTGTGGTGCTTAAGTAATCAAAGATGTCCCTTATTCTTACACCTCACGTCTTAGACGGATACTCAGAGTCTGTCAGACTTTACAAGTCAAAGTTGTTGATGACATTGACTTCTGTGAGTATGGCAATGACAAGAAATGTCACATACAAGACCAACAGGTACATGCCATAGGGTCGTGACATCTTGAACTTGCACAGTGGTACGATGATAAGAGATGACACGAGTGAGAATCCCAGACCAGCGGCAAGGATCATTTGTTCAAGGTTTACCTTCAGCTGGGAACATGACACAATGGATGAGAAGGTAACATGACACAATGGGTGAGAAGGTAACATGACACAATGGATGAGAAGGTAACATGACACAATGGATGAAAAGGTAACATGACACAATGGGTGAGAAGGTAACATGACACAATGGATGAGAAGGTCACATGACACAATGGGTGAGAAGGTAACATGACACAATGGGTGAGAAGGTAACATGACACAATGGATGAGAAGGTAACATGACACAATGGGTGAGAAGTAACATGACACAATGGGTGAGAAGGTAACATGACACAATGGGTGAGAAGGTAACATGACACAATGGATGAGAAGGTAACATGACACAATGGGTG